TAAATGAACCAGCACAAATCTTGCCTAGGGCAGCAAATTGGTCAGAACCAGCCCTGGTGTCATCCCCACAGCACCCCCCATTTGAAACATGTTCCCACGGCTATGTACAACAATACGCCCAAGCTGCCCCTCCTTAAAAAAAATGACAGCTAGTATCTACCTCATTGTTTTGTTTTTAGAAAAACAAAAACTAGTTGTGTCTTGTTCTTGTTCTATCAGATGTTTAATGATTCAACATGTTTTTACACTTTCCTGTTTAGATTCTGCCTCGTGTTTGTTCTCATTGGGCCTTATGAAACAACATGTTCTATTCCAATGCTCAATTGCTCTAGCTTGGATTTCCTACTAACGTAATAGACACTTTGGACATTTATTAATCCTAGTAGATTTTGAGTCATCACTAGGCATTTATATAGCACCTTTCAACACAAAGCAATTCAAAGTGCTGTACAAAAATATAAGACAATAAGATCTAACAACACTAACATGTGTAGTCAAATTTGTCTGAAAATGATTTAGAAATGTTGCTTCATTTGGATGGAAAATTTGCGAGGCGAAAATGTACCTCACTCTTAGTTTATGAAATCATCAACTCACTTTCTAAAAAAATGAAAAATTGGCATCAACAGCACGAAAACAAAACCGGTTGCAACCATGTTGTCAAAGTAGCAGCAAAAAGAGCCAATGTGATGTACTGCCCGCTTGTTTGTTTGAGAGCTTGAACAACAACTGACAAGTGAAGAAATGCATGGATGAAATGTTGATGTGTGGTTCAGTTGCCTCTATATGCATTGAATAAAAACTGATGATTATTTGCGATGCATTTATGTGAAGCAGTATTTTATTGGTGTTGCTGGTTAAGATAAGTATGATGTAACTATTTTATAGACTAATATGTAGCTTTATCAATAATGCCGTGCCACATTTTATAAGCTATTTGTTTTGAATGTAAAGTAGTGAAGTGGGAGTTTAAACTAACAGAGATTTCATAAGTAGAGCTACTTCCTTATGCCCGGGCAGCCGAAAATATGTTTTGTGTGCACAATTTTGGGCCTTTTCCAAGGCACACCTTTATAATTATTAGGATAAATAAAAACAGGTTTGAAATCATTCCAATGTCATTTCATTTCATTTCAAACCTTTATTTAACCAGATTGGTCCCATTGAGATCATAGATCTCTTTTTCAAGGGAGACCTGCAGCATATAGGTTCCACATGAAACATAAAACAATAAAGGACATCATACATTATATTTACAGGATACATTTACATAGTTATAGACATTTACAAGTACCCATAGTATCAACGAGCATTTCATTTAGCCTAGCTTTAAAAACATGCAGAGGAATGAGATTGCTCAGTTTCAATTCTTGCTGAAGATTGTTCCAAGCAAGTGGAGCTGCGCACATAAAAGCTGTCTTACCTATATATATACATCTATATTGATTCTGACTTTTCTACATCCAACTCACAGGTTTATCATTACTTTGAGAATAAAGATTATTACTTTAACCCTTTTAGAAGGGAAGATATGGTAATTTGTTCTGGGAATGTCATTTTCGAGCCTGAGACCTGAAAAACAGGCTCAGGGTTTAAGAGGTTAAGTAATCATAACACAAATCTAAAAGTTAATCTGTTTTTCCTTTCTCTTTTCAAGAGTGCTTCAGAGGATGGCTGAATTCACAAAACGTGGAGATGACCGAGAGGGAAAAGTTGGCCGGTTACTACATTTCACAAAAAATACAGGACCTTGTGAAAAAGCGGAAAGAAACAGTTGAAGGAAACTGCTTAAAAATATGAAGTAATCTGTAGTTCTGAAGTTTCTGGTAAGGTAGGTGCTCTGATCTGAAATGATAGATTGAGCTACTGCAATTGGGTGAGAGTGTTTCATCATCACATATGACCAGCTTAACCATCAAGCAGAGATGGAGTACTCGAGTCCTGGACTCGGACTTGAGTGCCGATTTTCGGGACTCGTGACTCGACTCGGACTCGCGCACTGATTGACGTGACTCGGACTTGGACTCGTGAATTCTCGCGCACGATGACTTGGACTCGGACTCGGACTCGTGAATTATCGCGTACGCTGACTTGGACTCGGACTCGAACACGAACACAGGTAATGATGACTCGGACTCGACTCGGACACTCCTTGGGTGACTCAGACTTGGACTCGGACTCGAACACAGGTAATGCTGACTCGGACTCGGACTCGACTCGGACACTCCTTGGGTGACTCGGACTTGGACTCGGACTCGACTACGACTCTTCCTTGGTGACTCGGACTTGGACTCGGACTCGAAGAGTGGTGACTCGAGAGTGACTTGGGCTCGTGAATTGATGACTTGACTACAACACTGCCATCAAGTAATCCCAGCTAAAGTTCTACTCAAGATCATACAAGTCTGACCAGCTCATGGTGACCAGCTAGAACACTGTGACCACCAGCTTTTACCAGCTAAACCAGCTATCCTGACCAGCTAATGGTGACCAGCTACTAGACCACTGTGACCACCAGCTTTTACCAGCTAAACCAGCTATCCCGACCAGCTAATGGTGACCAGCTAGACCACTGTGACCACCAGCTTTTACCAGCTAAACCAGCTATCCCGACCAGCTAATGGTTACCAGCTAGACCACTGTGACCACCAGCTTTTACCAGCTAAACCAGCTATCCCGACCAGCTAATGGTGACCAGCTAGACCACTGTGACCAAACCAGCTATCCTGACCAGCTAGACCACTGTGACCACCAGCTTTTACCAGCTAAACCAGCTATCCCGACCAGCTAATGGTGACCAGCTAGACCACTGTGACCAAACCAGCTATCCTGACCAGCTAAAGTGTCCAAAACCCCTCTTAACCAGCAAACTAATCCAGCCTAATATTGACTGGCTGGTCAGGCTGGTTTACCAGCCTGACCAGCCTTGTTGGTCTTAGCTGGTTTTTTCAGCAGGGCTACCATAGATTACCCAACAAAAATGCTCTGGCGCCGCCACTGTGTATTACATTAGGCACAGTAAAGCAACATGTCAGCTTAACAACCCAAAACTCACCAATATCATTCTCGATATTTCTTTGCAGTCTTCTTTTGTTGCAGCCCGTACTTTGAAATGCATCTTTGTTGCTAATTCTCTACACTTCACTCTTAATCCTGACTTCTCCACTACCTTTTTGTTCCTCAGAGAGACGTCAAGTGACTACAAACAGTAACCGCGTTGATGTTAAAAGCAGACTTTACGCGATACCGGAAGTTCCGGCTGGTCAGTTTGGTTTGATCCTTCAAAAATAAAAGATCAGTCAATTCAAGGTTCAAGGTTCTTTATTGTCAATCTGACATAGCTACAGAGTAATTATGCAGTTGAAAATCTTATGTCACAGGCTTCTCCAACAATGCAACATAATAACATAACATAATAACAATAAGAGCATGAGCAATACAAAAATAATAATAGTTATAAAAATGAAATAAAGTTATGATGTGGAATAGTGCAGTATGAGTCTATATACAAGTTATTGGAATGATATATATATATTAGGTATTAGATACATACTACTGAGTAGCAGTTGAATGTTTGATGTTGTTTCAACAGTTCAATTTTTTTAACAGTCTCACTGCCCGCGGGAAGAAACTGTCTCCGAATCTTCTTGTCCTTGCCAGGATGCTGCGGTAACGTCTGCCAGACGGCAACAGAAAGAACAGTTTGTGGCTGGGGTGATTCGTGTAAGATTTGGGGGGAACACATGTCTACATTACCCTGTTATTAATTTGATAGGCTATTCAAATAATATTAGGCATTGACGTTTTGCACACTACGAAGAAATCTACAAAGAGATTGTTAAATGGACCACCATTACATGTCATACAGCGCTCCTCTCTCTGGGAAATTGCACTATTTATCTACTCTAAATAAACAGGCTGGTATTCAAGTAATTATACACCAAAGTAAAATGATCTAAAATCTATCAAAACGTCTTGGTAATATTGTAAATCTGCACAAAGTGAGAATTGTTTTCAATTAGACTCTCGAACCAAAACACTTGAGTAACAAAATTGAAACCAATGCAACCTTTTTATTTGTACGTTTATATATATTTTTGGGTACCACTTTACAATAAGACTACCCTTATAAAGGATTCATAAAGGGTTTATAATTAGGTTATGAATTAGGTTGTAAACACTTTATTAATCATTAAGAACCATTTATAAACCAGTTGTAACATAGTTTTCATACATCAACACAGGCTCACTATTTGGCAAGATGACTAAGCCTTATATTGGCTACTTAGCGAGAATCAACTCAGTGAGCAACAGATACCAAGGATGCTAATGTAGCTGATGAAGAAGACGAAGTAAGCGAAGTAGCCAATATAAGACTTAGCAGTACAGATAAATGTGGGCTCACTATGTGGCAAGCAGCCGGTCACAGTTGCCCTGTTTATCTCATGTCTTATAAAAGCTTATTCATGATTGATAAAGTATTCACAACCTAATTAATAAACTAATTACAAACTATTCGTAAACCCTTTATAAGGGTAGTCTTATTGTAAAGTGGTACCTATTTTTGTTATGTCTTGTCATGCATTAGGTATGTTTGCAAGTGTTCCTGTGGATTTTAGTATGTTTTACACATGAATAAATATATTTCTGGAGAATGATTGCATAGAATCATTATAATGTTCCTGGGAGATTATGAGTTCCTACATATTTCAAGAAAAGATAGTTGTATTAATTAAAAGATCAAACTAGTTCACATAAAAATAAAGGACATTTAGAGTTACAGGGCTGGCTTGGACATAATCATCTCCTGACTTCTTTAAACAGGGAGGGCAAATACTCACAAATAAGATTGGATTCATGATCTATCCTCATCACTCCCTGACTGTCTACTCACTGAGTTGTAAATACAAATATGTTGAGATGGTTAAACATGCCACCTAATGGATAGACATGGTGTTACATCTAGGATTGTATTTAGATGAAATAACTGTGAAATGAAGGAAGGTCAGAGGTTGTTTAATTAAAAGCATATAGATTACACACACGTTTTTGTAAATATGTAACATGATACATAATGATGATGAACCACAAGAAAAAAAGGCAGTGAGGTCCCAGGTTGTGAAGTTTAAATTGGCAATGTTTTATAACCAAACACATTGTTTGTAACGAGAACATTTTTTTTTCCTTGGCTGACTTCTAATCTTGTGGAGCTTCATTGGCCAAACTGATCACAATCTTTAACCATCATCACCGACACGAAATAAAGTAGGAAATAAACTCAGGACTAGATCACTGTCTAAATATTCTTTTTACACTTTCACAAATATTGATATGAAAGTTGCAAACATTTTTTGGGTATAATGAAATTACAAAGAAAATGAGCACTCATCACTGAAAGGTGACAAAGCTTAACCATAACTGTGAAATGAAGGAAGGTCAGAGGTGGTTTGATTAAAAGTATATAGATTACATGCAGGTTTTTGTAAATATGAAACATGATTGTTTGATTTTAAGGATTTAAACATATTTAGGCGATAATAATAATGTAAATGCATACAAACATTGTTCTTCACTGAAAGGAGACAAAGATTATCCATGACTGCAAAAGGAATGAGGGTCAAAGGTACTTTATTAAAAAGATGAGTATATAAAATGATAGATTTCATGTAGGTCACTGTAAATAAGAAACATAATTTTTTTCATGATTGTTAAACCAGGAGCATGCCAGGTTTAGTGAAGCTTAATTTGGCACTGTTTCAATACCAGTGACATGTTTTCAGAGCAAGATACATGTTTTCCTCGGCAGACATTTAATCTTTTGGAGCCTCATTGGCTAAATTGTCCAGGTTTTGTCCGTCAAAGCGTATACAGTGCCATCCTTCGCTGTCTGTGAGGTCCTGAGCGCCTTTAGCAGCGTAGAAGTCTCTGGCTGGGGTATTACAGTCCAGCACTGATAACTGCAGCCGCATACACTGCTTCTCCTTCCCCACCTGAGAAACAGAACAGCCATCTTCTTCTTCATCACACTGGACATTATTTCTTTAAATGCGCTTTAGAGGCCAACAAACATCCTTGGTGTGCCCTATTAGCTCAACTTGCAGAACGTGTGTCCAATGTATGGGAGTCTTTACAGCATGTCGTCCCCTCCCTCTCTCTCCTTCCGGTCAATGTTTAGCTGTACTAGTCAAAAATAATCTTTAAAGAAAGCACATTCTTACCTTAGCGACTTTGCACAGTAAACCCTTTCCAAATCCATTTCCTGTAAAGGTAAATCAATACAAAACATTTACAAAATGAATGAAACAGATATTGCAAGACCAAAGCAGTACATAAAACGTGTACTGCTTTGTACTTGAAAGTAGCCTTGAAAGTATTCGTGAGAACTTTCAAGGCTTTCTTGAAAAGTACTTAACACATAGTTTACCTCTGAATTCTGGCATCACGTACAGGTCCTCCAAAAACATTGTCGGCCCCTTCCATGTACTGTAAGTGTAAAAGTAAAGGGCATATCCAACTACTGTGAATCCTACATGGACAAAAAGGAACAAGCACTTCAAAGACAAGCAGAAAGAGTTACAGAAACATTGAAATGGCCACAAATAAAGAGGATTGTTTTCTTGTTTTGCATTTTTTTTAAATCATTATTGACCTTTTATTATCTGTGCTAGATGCCTATAAGTTTGGAGCATGCTGACAGGGGGAGATAACCATGGCTTTGATCAACACTTTACCATCTTTAGATTTATTCTCCTCAGGCACTTCTGCAACGAGGCATTCAAAGGAAGGATTCTGGCAAAAACCGTCCCGCTCCAGTTCTAAAGTAAACAAACAAACAGATTAAGCACCTAAAAGCAACATTTTACATTATAAATAATATCAATGATCTGCAACCAAGTGACACATCATAAAACAAGATTTGAAACATTTCAAAATTAATTCTCAACCTTTTTTTTTGTTGCAACTCTGCTCTTATAAGCTAAGATAATAACACTGCTACAAAATAGTCAATTAGACAAGAGACTTAAGAAATGATTTGACTTTAGCACAACCAACTACCGCACATCTTTAAATTGGAAGGTTTCATGCAGACTAAGTTGTTAACTCATAAACATATTGAATGCATTTCCTACTTCAGTATGTGTACTTTTACTTAAGTAAACTAGTAATTCTTCGAACATCGGTAGACATCTATGTACAGTCAATAGTACAAATACTGCTCTACAATAGTGGTCAAAAACTCAACCCTGGTACCTTTGTATTGTACACATCATAGTCACACTTTGTACTGTCTGGCTGATGTGCTTATATTCATCGCTGCTTTCTAAACAGACCCTCAATTACTTACAACTCAACTTTAAACAGTTATAAAAGGGAGACAGCCTTTTGTTAGGAGTAACTCATACAGAAACTCAGCTTCCAATGTTGGAAAAGTGGAAACAAATCAGTGCCATGCAATCTGCCTCCTGATCCTGAAGATCCAAACTCACTGTAATACAGTTACTGATTAATGCAAACCTGTTTATCTTAGTCTCGTTGCAAAGTCTTGCATTTCCTATTTCAGGCTATAATAACTAACGGACACTGTAGCCTACACTTTAGACAGTGGTGGAAAAAGTATTCAGACACTTGACTTGAGTAAAAGTAATAATACCACACTGTTATCATACTCAATTTTAAATAAAAGTACTGCATCGAGAATGTACCTTAAATAAAAGTATGTAGGTACGATTAGAAAAATGTACTAGGAGTAAAAGATCTTGCAGGAAAAACTCTTAATTATTTCAAAGCAAAATTGCTGCCAATAATTTTCTGGTACCACTTGTGGTTCTTGTGAACTTAAATATAATGTTGGATGGTTTAATCTATACCAAAAAAAGCATTGTGTGTCAATATCTTTATTTATAAAGTTACTAGTAAATACATCTGTAAAATAGTTGTAGTGGCCAAAATGTAGTAGGCTACAGTAGAAGTAAAAAATGAAAATACTCCAGTTAAGTACAAGTACCCTCAAATGTGTACTTAAGTGCAGTACTTGAGTAAATGTACTTAGTTACTTTCCACCACTGCACTTTAGACAATGTCACACTTCAACATGCAAACCCAGTAGCACTCATAATTATAACTGATATGCTGGTACTATCGAGCTCTTTCACAGACATTGATATCCAGAGTAGGAAAAACACAACATTTGTTTTAATTATCGATGCCATCATTTGCAGTGTTTGTCCAATACATTATTAGGAGCATTACCTTCATGGGATATCTTCACTTGGTCGGGCATTTTTTCATTAACCGCCAATTCCTGAGAAAAAGGGGGTTAAAACCACACTTTATGTGTCAATATGTATACAATAAATGGCGTGAGGCTCTTTCATTTAACAAATAACCTTAAAAGACGTTCAACCTAAAGTTATGGTTTCAACACACAGTGAAGTCAGGTGTATTACATTAGGCACAGTAAAGCAACATGTCAGCTTAACAACCCAAAGCTCACCAATATCATTCTCGATATTTCTTTGCAGTCTTCTTTTGTTGCAGCCCGTACTTTGAAATGCATCTTTGTTGCTAATTCTCTACACTTCACTCTTTATCCTGACTTCTCCACTACCTTTTTGTTCCTCAGAGAGACGTCAAGTGACTACAAACAGTAGTGATGTGTCGGTCGCGAACGAGCCGATTCTTTTGAACGGCTGTTTGGTACGACCGAGGGGAACCGAGTCCTACTTGGTGAGAGCCGTTCTTGTTATCGTTCAATCGTTGGTCCGCACTCACTGCCTGCCAAAATCCACTCGCCTTTTAAAAAGCTTGATTTTGTTCCCCAAACGTATTCTGTGAAGACCCGCCCCTACTCTGTTTGGTAGGTTTCAGCACGAGGAGTGAGATGGGGTGGGTCTTAACGGAATACGCGAGAGAGAGAAGTCATAACAAGTGGTACAGGACATGTAGACAACGTGTTTTTCGGATGGAAAATGAGCCAAACGCGAAAACGCAGCAGCATTTGGATTCACTTCAACCAAAACCCAGGCAGTGATAAAGCGCACCATTTGTAAAGGCAAAATATCCTTTAAAGCAGGATCAACAAATAATCTCCATCGCCACTTAAAAACACAGTATCTAATATTAAGAGTTGCATGAATTTCATTCAAGGCAAGGCAACTTTATTTACTTAACACATACAGAGGGTAAATTCAAAGTACATTCACTGACATGATGACATGGATATGGCGCCACCTTGTGTCATGTTTACAATGCCGATTATTGACATTAGGTCTGGCAATACAGTCAATCATTATCCTGGTGATTATTTTGCAGATAAACCTAGTAACCTTTAAAAAACGGCTCTTTTGAACGGCTCTTTGAAAGGAACGGAGCCATAAGATCCGGCTCCCTTCAAAGAGCCATAATTCCCATCACTAAAGTGCACGTTACTGATGCAATATGGTTGAGACCATTCGGGCTTATGCTATAAGAGGGGTGCAAGGAATAGTCTAAGTAGTGGGGGAGTTTTATACACTAAAGGTGTGGAAATTCTCTGGCGTTATAATATCAGCGCGGCCGCGGTCAGATCAAAATGCCTCCGAATGCAATTTGAATAGACCTACAGCCAATCAGAGCAACGCAACGTTGGATCTGCGTCATGCCTTATTGATTGAGATCAATCGAAACCGCCATTCAGTATCCCCATTGGATCTTCAACGTGTACTATCATACGTCACGTTCACAGTGATCCCTTTTTATTTACTACAAGACAAATGTGCCGTTTTATTTCATACAGTTCCATTTTGATTGAGACAGGGAAATAATCTAAACCTCACGCGTGGCGTTTCACTGTCAAGGGGGGGCGATATAGCGTGTATGTAATTACATTGCAAATACTGACTTGAGCACCACCACTGTATGGGTTAGCCCTCCCTGCTGGAAAAAACAGCATAGACCAGCTTAAGATGGTTGCTGGTTTTAGCTGGTTTTAGCTGGTTTTAGCTGGTTTTAGCTGGTTTTAGCTGGTGTTAGGCTGGTTTAGTTGGTTTACCAGGCTGGACAAGCTGGCCAGGCTGTTCTTGCTGGTTCAAGACCAGCCTGGTCAGCTAAACCAGCATAGCCCAGCATGGATGTCATGCTGGTCTATGCTGGTTTTAGCTGGTCTATGCTGGTGATGCTGGTGAAGCTGGTCTACCAGCAGTCTTGCTAGCGAAACTGAAATAGACACAGACAGACAGAGAGGGCGGGACACGGGGGAACGGCGAGACGGCAGTGGTTGAAACAAAGCGGTATGTTTTGACTGGCACTAACGGTCGAGGAGTGAAGATCAGTTGAACGTTTCTGTGACTCCGCCCAGCGGCTGCTCTTCTGAGAGGCACCGCTCTGACAGCTCTGTCTACTGGGAAACGCGCTAAAAGTCCTTCTGGAGGTAAGCAACACTACACAATTTCACCAAGTCTGAGAGTAAAAGCTTTCTCGAAGGTTCGTTTTGCTTTCTTACAACGTTACGTTAATTTTAACTTAACCTTACGTTTGCTAGGAGGCTAGCTGTCTTAGCTAACAACAGTTAGCAGCTAACGTTTTCTCCAGTTTGTGTTTCCCCTGAAAAACGTGATGCAGCTATAAGTTGTAAGTTAACTTAACGTTATCTTACAAGTTGAGAGAGTTACGTTTTGTTTAAAATCGTCAATGTAATGCCATTAGAGGTGTTGTGTTGAACATGAAGTTAGCTAACTGTAGCTCTCCACCAAAGGTTAGCATGTTAAGCTGTACTTTCTGTGGCAGCTCGCTTAATACAAAGAGGGTTTTTGTGCTTCATTGTAAACTTTTCTTACAAATGTGTGTTAATCTACCTGAAATTGTAGGGACAGTTTTTTTCTACTCAATGATACAGACCATTGTTGAGGAGATGCAAAACATACTGTAATTGAGTTGGGTCTGACATATACTTTGAGTAATGTTACTTTACTGCTAAAAAAAAGAAACATTATCAGAAGAGGATATCACCAAAGTGTGTGAGTCTGTCAGGGGATTTGATCTGTTCTCTGCATGTCGTACAGGGCCTATGTACACACTGCTCTGGTATTAATTAAAAATATAATTGGAAAATGTAAGTCTCCCGCTCTTGTCATCGTTCAGGCTTTGCATTTGAACTCCTATGACTGGTTGCGGACTTGAAGGGAATGACTTCCTGGCCTTCCTGACATCCAGGAAAATGGTGAGATTCTAATCCATTTCAATGCCAAAAGCAAGTTATTGTTTTTAACTTTTTAATATGATTTTTTGGGGAATTTCAGTTTTATTGGACAGTAGAGATCTAATGGAAACAGTGGAGAGGGAGGAGATGATATGCAGCAAAAGGCCGAGCCGGATGGTTGCTGCTCCATGTGGAACGTGTTCTATCAGGTAAAGCACTTTGGTACCCAGTTATTTATGGTATTGAGTTTGAATTGAGCCTTTAGAAGGTATTTTCCAACATTGCATTGTAAAGACTGAAAAAACAGGCTCAGGTTAAAGCTTGACATGATTTGGTCTTTTACTTAAAGGTGGGGTAGGTAATTTTGGAGAAATCAGCTCGAGTGCGCTAGAATTTGAAAATACACAGCCGGAAAATATCTGCCACTTCCTTACAGAGCCCCTTCTCCAACACACACGAACGCGCACATGACTAATGAGGGCACGAGATAAGTTTGTGCACAGATGGAAGGCTGACAGGCAGGTAGGCCATCCAGTTACTTTAGCCGGGCCGGCTCAGATGATTGGCCGTGCTTTTTACAGCACCACAGCTTCCACAGATGACATTCTTTTATGGATTTTTTGTCAAAGCACTTAAGAGGATGTTTGTACTCCTGTCTTCTTTTATTTCCTTATCTTTCTTTCAGGTGTAACATCTACCAATGGTTGTACATAGACCTCCTCCACCTCTTTGCTGTCCTACTAGTCAACCCTCCTGATCAGAGCCTTTCCTAAATAGTGGTAAGTTGTTTTACAGTTACAGTGTACGTTAATTTAGCAACTTAAAGGTAGGGTAGGTAACTTTGAGAAACCGGCTAGATACACTTTTTGTTATATTCCATGGAATGCTCTTAACATCCCGATAGGAATGAATATCTTAAGTGCTTTGACAAAAAATCCATAAAAAAATGTCATCTGTGGAAGCCGTAATACTGTAAAAAGTACGACCAATCATTTTAGCCGGCCCGGCTAAAATAACTGGATGGCCTACCTGCCTGTCAGCCTTCCATCTGTGCACAAACCTATCCCGTGCCCTCATTGGTCATGTGCGCGTTCGTGTGTGTTGGAGGAGGGGCTCTGTAAGGAAGTGGCAGATTTTCTCCGGTTGTGTATTTTCAAATTCTAGCGATCTCATGCCGGTTTCTCCAAAATTACCTACCCTACCTTTAATGCTTTACTGCTGTTCAATAAACCCTATATATATATATATACATCCATCAGCAATCAATAAAACAAATCATCCAACACAAAATAGAAGAAATCTATTTATTTTTATACAACAGCATCTATTGGGACTGCGCATTGATGTCATCAAGAGCCATTGAGTCTACCTTTTGTAGTCGGCCTATCAGAATGTTTATAATTTCTTTGTCTCTTAACATTCCTATAATCATTTGTTTTTTTATTGTTGGTATTATTTTGTTCTTTATTTTTGTTGGGAGAATCACTTTGCAATTGTGTAAGTGCTATAAATAGTTATACTAATATTATTGTTGTTACCATCATTACTATTATTAAAAATGTTTTCTTTGTTTTCTTTATTCATCGCTGCAGAAAGGATCATGCCAGCCCACATCAAACACCTGATCAAGAACTTGTGAATCTTCAGGCAGAAAAGATGAAAACACCTGTTCAAAGTTCCAGTTCCCTGTACATGGAACCATGCATGTACTCTGTCCCACATGTCTTCAGTCAGTTCTGGACCCCATGACTCGGACACTGGTTCTACCAAGGCTCATTAGAGGTAAGCAGTGGTAGGAGAGTGGAGTTATCTTTGTATTTAGGCTGCAAGTCGACAAGAATAGATTGTTCAGACAAGAGGCACCATGTGTTACGCAGGTGTGGCGCTGATATAGTTTATATAATATGCGGTTGGACTTTAAAATTAAATTATTTCCGGTGCAGAGACAAACACTCGAGGTGGATGTATAAAGTACATACTGGTGTTAACAAAATATAGCGTATATCCCTCAATTTATCGACAATAAGAATGACAATACATACTTCCGGGTGTAAAGTAATATATCTATCATACTGTAGCAGGGTGTCCGCGGGTCCTTAAAAAGTATTAAAAGTTGATAAATCAATTTAGCGAAAATTAAGGCTATTAAAAAGTATTAAACGGCATTTTCCAAGGTATTACATTTTGTAGCTTGTTTTCAATAAGTATATAAATTGTCCAAAGAGGTTGTATTCTACAGTTTGCCTGAATGTAATCATTGCGTAGGTGTGTAGTGTGATTCTGTGTAGTTTATTTATGGCATCCCGTTGGGTTTGACGTCATCTGAACAGGACATTGCACCAGGGTTCGAGTTATGTGGGAGCCAATGGGAGCTGAGCTCCCATAAGGAGGGGTCTGAGCTCCCACGGACGCAATGAAATCATACATCTGTGGGGGTCGCTAATACATTACCAACAACCATTATTTTAATCACAAATAATGCATGTGTCAATGTAATGAGTATTATTGAAAAGAAAAACATGTTTTCCAAAAGAACAACGCATCTCTTGAATAACAATATGCCTGCACTGCACCTCCAAGGTGCGCAATACTTTATTGCACAATCTATGCCTGTGAGCGTGC